TGCACAATGTTTTTCTTTCAAATATAACTCTAAAGACATTTTAAAGGGTTTTGCAATCAGACTTCCAAATACACAGAGTCCTAGATAGTTCATGTTGCAAGAAGAAGAAAGAAATGTCCACAATATATAATTTTACTGCATTTAAAAATCCTAAAATTTGCTTCCAATGAATAATCTGAAAAATAAATGGATTAGACCCATATTTATGTTGCCATGGTTAAATTTCAAAAATATAACATTGAGTAGAAAAATGTAAGTTACAGAATATATATAATGCATGTTGCATGCTAGACTATAATTTATCTGAAAGTCAAAAACATGACTGTCATACAAACGGAACATGTCAAAGATTTAATTTAATTAATTAGAGCAGTGTTGATATATTAAGGCAGATGCAAATGAGATTTTTTAAAGTGGACATATGTGGTATATATGTACAATAAGGAATTAGGAAATGAATTTGCTTGTAGATGCAGATTTGGTTACTGTCTTAATTACAGCGCTATTGAATATTTGAGGTTATCTTAGGGTATCAGTTGGACCCCCAGCAGACACTCATTCGTGGACAGGAATCTTTTCCATTACTGCCAATGCTCTACAACTTCAAATGCAGCAGTTTTAACATGGCAGCCAATAGAAAGACGGTGAGATGCACAAGCCTTTAAAGGGCTCATTCACTTCTTTTGTTCAATTTCAAATCTTTATCAGTTTTTTCCTGGTATCTGATACCAATAATAAAAATGCAAAACCATAACATATTCCATTCATTATACATATACATATGCAACAGTATTAATGAATGGAGCTAGGGGATGTAGCTCAGTTGGTAGAGTGCTGACCTAGCATGGAGGGAACCCTGGGTTTAATTCCCAGTGCTGCATAAACTGGGAGTGGTGGTGGCGGTGAAAGCCTGAAATCTCACTACTTAGTATTTAGCTTTAGGGGAGGTCAACAGAGGATCAGAAGTTTGAGGCCAGAGTGGGGAAGTGGGAGAGGGAGAGGAGGAGGAAGAGGAAGAGGAAGAAGAGGAGAAGAAAGAGAATAGTAAAGATACAAGTCACAATTCTTTCATTATTATCTCAAATTATATCGAATTTTAGGATTCTTAAATGAAGTAATGAAAAATGCTCTTGTTAAAGAAGGGCTTGCAACAAACAGGACAAATGATAGAATTATTTATCACAGAGTGGTGGGACCTGTTGGATTCTTTTTCTGTCTTTAAAAACATTTCTTAGAATAAAAAGCTAGTTTTTTCTATTGTTTTGCTCATGTGAACCGACCCCCTTTATTTTAAAGTTATGTGATTAAAAACATTTCTTAGAATAAAAAGCTAGTTTTTTCTACTGTTTTGCTCATGTGAACTGACCCCCTTTATTTTAAAGTTATGTGAACTGCAGCCTCTCTTATTCACATAACATTTATTCAGCATCTCACTAAACCATTTATGTGTCATGGTAATGGCCAGTCTCTTCCACTTCAGTCTTACTCTCTGTTTAAGGGATATTCAAACGTTCAGATTCAAGTCCGGTGTGAGGAAATAGTTAGTAGGTGTTCCTGTATGGTGCAACTTTGGTCCTAATTGGTCTCCTGTGAAAATTTATCAGAATCTTCATCAAGATGAAGCAATAAACTGGAGCCAACCTCCCCTGCACTGCCACTCTATTCTTGTTTCTCTGTGGTTCCTCTCCCTCAGTACTGGTCAGTCACAGGTTGTACTTAGAGTTGACCTTTCAGATCAGATGCAAAAGAAAATCTTACTGCCTGTGAGGGCTTTCCCATATCAGTTGTCTTGCCCTGAATTTGTGTTCCATGGTGAATGTAATTGAAAATTAGACTGAATTTGAGCTACTTGGAATAATTGCAAATGGTCAAGGCCTGCTGGGCCTTATGGCTTTCAGAGCGCTGCTTGGGGTGGTGGGGGGAGGGGGTAAGTAACAGGCCCTTCTGCCAGGAGACAAGTGACACATCCAGAGATCAGTCACAGAGCATACCAGGTCTTTCTTAAGGTACCCTGAGTTTACGGACAACTTAGGCAAAAATGGAATGTGGGAGTTCTAGACCCAAAATGTATATCCCTCTTCCCCTTCCTCCATCAGCTTGATGGTCAGACACCTTTGGACTCACACTAAGTCAGGCCCAAATTAGATGAAACCTTGAGCCTTTTCTTTATCATCCAAGCAAGTGGAAGGCCTGCTGGCTTCAATCGGCGATTGAGAAGCTCTTTGTGAAACTGTTTTAGTGGCGGTGATGAACTTTGGGAGCAGGAGTAGTGCCCTGTTCAATCTTTTATGTCACCTACTGGGGTAAATATCATGCAGCCAATTATAATGGCTGTCTTGGTGGGGCCTCACATGCCAAAACCTGTACCCTCAAGTTGTGGTCCAAAAGAGTGCCCCCTTTCTTACACACAGGATTCTGTCCCTGCTTGTGTAAGTACCTTCCAGTATTCAGAGGCCTATCAGCCCATCTCATTCAAAAGTACTGTCTCATCTTCCCACTATCCCATTCATCTCAGATCCCAGGCCTGCAATGGGTAGGATGAATTTCCTGTGCCCTGTGTGTGCCAGAACCTTTTACTGTGCCTCATAGTTGTCCCTGAGTGGATCTTCCCATGGAGGAACCAGAGGACTGAAGTAACTAGAGTGCTTGCTGGGAATTATCAGCCCCTGTCCTAATCCATTGTTTATTTTTGCCTCTGTCTCAAATTGGGTGCAGTTGTCTTCTCTCTAAATTCTGGTTTTACAAGTAAGGAATCTCACTGTGCTATTGTCTAGATAGAACAATGACAGTCACCTTCCACATTCTGGGGGCAAAGGGAGTATATTTTACACTGGAAAAGTAAGTTTTCCTTTGGGTTGCTTTGACTTGAGAATTGAGGTGGAGTTACTTGGGGGGGGCACAGTTTGACTTTCAGTTGGGAGCTTGGACATAGTGGGGAGAGGTCTCTTTATCCTGAACAGTCAGGTTGGAAGAATGCATTTCAGGATGAAATAGATGCAGCTTGAGAGCCTGTCTCTTCAGTATCATTTTCTGTGGGCATATATTGGCATCCCTAAGGATTTAAACTAGAGAAAGCATTTTAAAAGGGCCAATGCTTGGATAAGGATGAACTGTGAGGGATTTCTGCTATAGAAAAGTGGGATTACTGTTTTTCTTGGTAGACGTCCCGTCCCGTTTTTCCCATGGGTAAAAACTATGCCTGAGAAATAGTCAGAATGACTTAGTCACACTGGTAAAAAGGAAGGAGCCTTTTTTGCATAAGCGATGCTTCCACTATTTATTTGATCATTTGTGAACTAAATGAGTAAATGTGGTCACAGATACCTGGGGAGCCTGCCCCACCCTTCACCCTTGTGTGCCGTAAACTTCTCCTTTCTTGGGCACAAAATATGTGGTAGGTGGATGACTAAATAATGGTGACAGAAGTCAGCACAGTGTTTTTCACCAATGTTATTGTTGACGTGGGCAGTGCTGGGTCCTATGAGAACCTGTGGGGCAAATACCCATAGGTCCTGCTCACTTGGGGCTTTCTTACTGTGGTCCCCAGGACAGAGGTAACTCATTTATAGTGAATCAGCTACCTAGAACAGTAAGATTAGATGACTTTCAGAGGTGCCAGAAGAAGATAATGCCAAGACAGCCATCGTATCCCCACCTTGGAAATGGAAATACTATCTGCAGAATATCCCAGCAGGGACCCAGGACTTATATATAAAAATTATAGTGTGTGCGTGTGTGTGTGTGTGTGTGTGTGTGTGTTTCAACAGTCTCATTGAGTTGCTCACATCAACCTTGCACTTGCTCTAGAGCTTAGGCAGGTCTTCAATTTGTGATACTTCTGCTTCAGTCTCCCGAGTAACCGGGATTATAGGCCTGCACTGCCAGGCCTGGCTTAACCTATTTTATATGAACCCTGAAATACATCAAGTCCTATATCTAATTTAGAGGTCAGATGTATGTGCTTGTCTCAGAAACTTGGCATAACAGAGGTTTGTAATGAATTAAGACCCCACTGATTACATTCAAGTCTTACAACGGGGAAGATGACCCAGGTGTAAGAGAAGAGGCTCATAGGACCCTGAGTCCTGTTATTGGTGAGGTACAGGAGGTATCCCAATGGATTCATTACCCTTTCCTAGACTCTGCAATGATTATGGAGAACAAACTGCTAATCTGTGTTGGAGGCAAGCAGATATGCAATGATCCATGTCAGCATTGTTGGGTTTTGTTTTTGCCATATTCTTTGATGCTTGTGAGTGTTACTTTGAAATCTAGCTGGTCATTTTATAACTTCCTACTGGCAGAAACAGGAAAAAGTAGTAGCCTTGTGGCCATATATAGTAATTTCTTTCCAGTTACCGGGTATTCAAGTTACAGTCAGTAGCTAAATGGCTGGTGAAAAGATGACATCACTGCTGTTTAATAGACTGGAGTCTATTTTTTCTGATTTCAAAGCATGTACCTTAATAAGAAATTTGAATCTAGTACACAGGATGAAAAATGAGTGATTGGTGAGATACATTTGTCTTAGGCATCGGCTGCTCTATTGACAAAAGACACAAATATGAAATTTGTCAAAATAATTAGATTTTTAATTAGTGCATCATTGTAAGATTAATGTCATTGCGCTTCATTGCATGTAATTTTCTATTAGAAATTTCATGTCAACAAAGATGCTACCTGTGGTTTGCTGATCTGAGTCCCTAATTTATCACTGTGCATATGGCATGACACATGTTTGTAGATACAGACATGAGCTGAAAGAAGGCATTTGATTATAGCTCTGTTGGCGGTGAGGAATATTGATGGTGCTATGCCGGATGCATACATTATGGTTTCTCACATTCAGGAGATAGGTTTCCATCACACGTAATTTGCAGTGCTGTTAGCAACAACATGAAAAGGTGCTTCAGGGTATGTATGCTAGTCTCTGTCGACCTTGAACATGCTCAGCAGTCGTTGGTGTTGTTCTTCACCTGCTTTTTCTTTCCTTTTAACAGTTGCCGAACAAGCAACCGAAAAAGCTTGATAGGCAATGGCCAGTCACCAGCGCTGCCTAGACCACACTCACCTCTCTCTGCTCATGCAGGTAAGTGATGACCCTCTAGGGGTGTTGTCTTGTTTCTTTTGTTAGACTTAGAAAAGTAACCAAGTCCTTTTGAGACCTATGTGTGTCTTTTATGTATGCCTTGGTTTTCCTATTATTTTGTCATTAAGTTGTTCCTTCCAAAGTAACAGTTTAGAATTCCTTTGTACATTGGCCTCTCCGCACTTATTTACTTCTCCATTTCTAAGTTTTTGGCTGCTGTAAGACCTGTGTCTCCATTAGAAGTGTCTCTAGGACATATGAAGAAGATAAGTGTTCAGAATTATTTAGCCTGATTCCCTTAAAATTGAGATTCACTCTTTCATTAAAATAGCTAGCCATGGGAGGGACTGTGAAGACCCATAGCCTTCTCAAGTACTCTATAGAATTATTAGGAAGGCAGAAGCATACTGCTAACCCTAGTCAATGAAATCCCTTTGTATGCTTTTAATTTCAAATCTCTATCTAGAGTGATGCAAATAGGAGAAGGAATAATTCCCAAAACAGGAGAGCTTAAGGAGAGCCCTTGACCTAGGTGTTGGAAAACGGCCAAGGTTGGAGCAGGTGGAAATGGGTGAAAGAAAGGACTCCCAGTGAACAGCTGGAATTTGTGGTGGGCACGTATGGTTTGTCATAGCATAAACAGGAGAACGCAGGTACCTTGTGCTCAGAGACACTAATCCACCTGTAGTTAAGGTATTTGAGGTACAGCAAGCAGCTCAATATACTTGGAGAAGGTGCTGTCAACTATTACTTTAATATACTGTTATCCATTTTATGGTTCTAAGTAATGGTGTACTTAATAAGGAATTAAGTTAGTACACAATATGAGAAATGGATGAATGGTGGGATACAGAAGATGAAAAGGCAGGCGAAGGCTGGGGACTGGAGGGAGTCTGGATTTTCACTGCCTTTTCCGGACTTGGAAGATCACACAGGAAATGTGTTCAGGGTGGGGTGAGAGAATGCACCATCACCCTACTTCATGGCACCCTGTAGAAACTCCTAACTTGATGCTGAGGGGACTCTCAGATGATCTTGGCTTTATGACTAAATATCTTACTGTCACTGTCCCTCAGCAGGCAGGCATTCCTTGGCTCCAGAGGTCTTTCCTGTGGAAGATGGAGCTGTCTTTATGGGTAGGAGAAGAGGAAGAGGGAGAAGAGTACTATCTCTCCTTTGGAATGACATTTTATTTTCTCCTTTATTATTATTAGAACTAAAATGTGGTAAGGGGACTGGTGAAATGGCTCAGTGGTTAAAGGCGCTTGCTGTCAAGCCTGATGATCCGAGTTCAATCCCTGGAACCCGGATGGTGGAAGAAAAGAACCAATTCACACAAGTTGTCCTCTGACTTCCACAAGTACACAGTGGTATGCACTTACACACACACACACACACACACACACACACACACACACACACAGAGTAAATAAATTAATTTATTAAAAATGTAATTTTCTTTAAAAATATTTAAGGTGGTAAGAGAAAAGGTGAAAGACGTGGATAAAGTTTTTGCTTTATAAAATGACCACCGTGTACAGAAATGCTTCTCTCAGGGAAGGCTTTTGAGAAACACTTGCACACAGGAGGGCAGACTTGAACCTGAACACGGACATGCTTGGTCACTGCTGAACATTTCAGCCAATCTAATCTAAAGTCCAATCACTTGGAAATGGATAAATGATAGTCCGAGTACAAAACCCGGAACGCGGATTGTGAAAGAAAAAAACCAATTCTCACAAGTTGTCCTCTGACTTCCACAAGTACACAGTGGTATGCACTTACACACACACACACACACACACACAGAGTAAATAAATTAATTTATTAAAAATGTAATTTTCTTTAAAAATATTTAAGGTGGTAAGAGAAAAGGTGAAAGACGTGGATAAAGTTTTTGCTTTATAAAATGACCACCGTGTACAGAAATGCTTCTCTCAGGGAAGGCTTTTGAGAAACACTTGCACACAGGAGGGCAGACTTGAACCTGAACACGGACATGCTTGGTCACTGCTGAACATTTCAGCCAATCTAATCTAAAGTCCAATCACTTGGAAATGGATAAATCAACTATGGCCCAATCATATAGAGAAAACAAATGAGCCAGCCCTGTACTTGTCTACATGGACGAAGCTCAAGTATGGTATTGGGCAACAGAAGCACGTTGTAAAAGAATATTGCTTAACTGGCCCTATGAATTAATGTGATGTTGCATACATTATTTTGTTTATGAAAAAAATAATATTATGGGATGTTATATGAAATGTAATAGTTGTATTCTATAGATTAATTACATATATATGTATATGTATATATGTTTGTAGTAAGTAAGGGAAGCATGTTAACTTTAAAGACCAGTTTTATGATTGTTGCTTTTGAGCAGAGGATATATGGAGAAAGCATGGTAAGCAGTTGGTAATATTGGTTGTATTTTCAAAGCTGTGTAATAAGTACACAATTATTTAAGTTATTACCATTTGTAATTCTGACATATATATTACCTGATGTCTTAATAGTAAAAACCTAGCCAGGCTTGGTAGTGAATGCCTTTAGTCCCAGCATTTGGGAGGCAGAGGTAGGTGGAGCTCTGTGAGTTCAAGGCCAGCCTGGTCTACAAAGTGAGTTCCAGGCCAGCTGGGGCTACAGGGAGACCCTGCCTCAAAAAAA